TGTACAGAGAAATGTCTCTAAAACAAGAAAACCGAGAGCCTAAGCTGAAGCAGGAGTGAGCGGTGAGGACTGTTGTCACAGCCTGGGCACGGCACACGTCCCAGTCTAAAGGGGCGGCCGCCTCTCAGGCTCCGATGGTCCATGGTCAGGATCACGTGGAAAGGCAGGGCCCAGGGTCTTCAGATTTTTCAAAAGGATTTTTAAGTGATGGTTTCTGATATTTAAATGTTGGTTCGAACTCTATTTTTAAAAAAAAAACACACTGTGGGAGCAAAAGAGAATAATAAAAAAGAAACAGTGAAAAAGAAAGATCTGGGCTCCATGAGCCACCAACTGGAGCCTCTGTGGTGGAGGAGGGATTAAGAAAGGTGAGAAGACTGGAGAAGGGGTAGCAGCAATTGTCCCAATGGGACAGCCTTGGTATGGCAGTGAGAATAACAAGGAGGGAACAAGTGGAAGAGGAGTGTATCAGTTATCCATTGCCATGGAAATGCTGCATAACAGACAACTCCAAGACCTCAGTGGCATACTGTTGTAAACATATATGTTTGCTCTGGGTTGGCTGTGTGCTTCTGCTGAAACCATAGGTTTGGGCAGGGCACACCCATAGGTCTGGTCAGCTGCTGGTCAGCTGCAGGTCAGCTAGGTGGCTTTGCTGATCTTGGCTGCGTGCCTGGCTGGGACAACCGAATGGGCTGGTCTGGGCTTGGGCTCTGCTTGGTCCTCCAGCAAGCTGGCTCAGGAGTGATGTTATCCAAGGCAGAAAAGCAGGGGAGAGACCCACAATGCATGAGGCTCTGAGACACAGGGTTGAAACCTGAATATCAGCATTGCTGCCACTGTTGATCAAACAAGTCACGGGGCCAAGTCCAGAGTCAAGGGAGGAGGAAAATGGGTTCCTTCTTTTGGTGGGCGGAGCTGCACAACCACCTTGTGAAGGGCACGGATACAAGGATGGGTGGAGAAGTAGGGCATTTTTGCAATTAACTGATCACAGCATAGCTTTGTGTAAGCCACCTGCTCCAAAGGAGGAGGCTGCGTGAGGTAACCCCTTCAGCTCAGCCACCCTGAGGATCCACCTCATCTCAGCCCTCCGGGCCCAGCTGGATGCTGGCTGGGAACAGTGAGAAGGGTTTTGCTTCTGTCCTCCCTCTGCTGGGCCCAGGGGGTGCCTGCCCTGGGATCCCAAGCCACTGTTACCAGGGATCAATAGCTCTTCGCCTTCCCTAATGGGCTCCCTGATGGTCTTCAGCTGCACCGGAGCCATGGGGAGAGATGCATTAGCCCCCCTCGTATCCACAAGGGGCATTTACCCTTAATGGAGGGAGGGATCTGGCTGATTCCGTCTCTCTATGGCCGGCCACTTGCTGAGGAGGGTGACACAAAAAATAGAACTATCTCACAGGCCTAGTTTCCATGTGCTAAAACCTGCAGAAACCTGCTTACAAAGAATGCATCCCATCTGTCCATCCCTCCCTCCCTCCCTCCCTCCCTCCAATAGTCTCCTTAAGATCTCCTGTGTATCAGGGCAGATGCAGACAGCTCAGAGATTGTTAAAACCTGGCTGTACCCCTCAAGGGGGAAGGCAGACAAATAAGCAGTCAGTGGCCTGTTCTGAGTGTTGGATGCAGGTAAGCATGGAGGACAGACCTAAGAGGGAACCGGATTCAGGCTGAACACCAAGGGGAATGACAAGGCAGCCCCTTTGCAGGCCCCAGCCACTGTCCTGATGGTGGGTCCAAAGCTGCCTTCCAACCTTTAAAGGATGAAGGGTAGTCTCCAGCCAGAGTGCAGATCAGAGCCTGGCCCCATGTGTGCCTACATTTAAGAAGCTGACTCTCGAGAGGCTGAGTGAGAGAACACCACAGCGTTCAGACTCAAGCTCTGCCACGTGCTGGCCTTGTGAGTTTGGCACAGCACTGCAGCCCTGCTGTCTAAAGCCTCTGGTCAGGTGCAAACAAGGGGCCTGAGCTCTGTGGCTCTGTGGGCATCCACGGGAAAGGTTGCTGGCAGGTAACAGGGTGAGTTCATGCACATCGGCACTCCAGAGGGCTTTTCTCTCCAGACTGGTCCAATGGAGAGGTCCAGGTTCTTCCCTGGAGGCTGTGTAGGTGAGTCTCTGGCTCTGAGCTCCATCCACCACCCAACTCCCTACCAGGGCGAGAGGAAAGGCGGGACCAGGAAGGACCGGATAAGGGACAGAACTCACTCAGAGTCCCAGACAGATGTATAATCACCTTTTGCAGCCACAGAAAAATGTACAATATAAGTGCTCCAAATTAGGCATGTAATTTTTTTAGGGAGATCCCTAAAGTCCCAGGATAAGAACTCCAGCTTTAGAACTTAGATTAGTTTCACCTAATTAGACCTCCAGCTCAAACCAATAAAACTTTCTAGTATTGTCAGAGAAAGCTGGTACCCAGCCCCCGCTACGATGGGAAGGGGTTTTGATACGTGGCCTCAAAGTGACAACTGAGGTTCCCCTGCCTGAGAGATGTGACGGCCCAGGAAGTGAAGGAGGGCGGCCACTTCCCCCTGGAGTCGGAACTAGGAAGTGGCAGGCAAAAGGCAGACTTCCCTTCCATCGCATGTCTCTTACCACGGAAAACCTCAGTATCAATTCATCACTATCGCCTCTCCAGCTCCAAAGATGGATTGTGTAGATATGTAAAATAAGTATAACAAATAAAGGAAATACATTTAAAAGGTACAAGCATTGGCCGATTTTGTCATATTTCACCTCAATTTTATATGCTGTCAAATATACTTGAAATACATGTGCGCTAAGCATGACAAATATACAAGAGAAGCTAAAGCTCTATTATTTTGCTGTAATGGACCAGGGGAATAGCGTTGAAATAAAATTCGTCTGTCTGCAGTAAAGGCTTTTTTTCTGAAGCTGCCTTAATACTATGAACAAAGCTGAGAGCTCTCTCAAGGGCTTGTTCCTTCGATTTACTTGCCCTCTTTGAGGCCTTCGCCATGATGCGTCTGTGGGTGGATGGCGACGCAGCGTGTGATTCGGCAGGGTGAGGGCAGCGGGAGCCCCCCGCTTATCCCCAAGCTGATAACAGGGAGAGGAGGGATGAAGGTGAGAATGTACACTGGGTACACGGTGTCTGGGTGGCAGCCGCGCGGGGCTCAGTGCCCACCCCCTGCAGACACACCTCACAGGAGGCAAACTCAGCTGGAAAGGCTGGCTTGAGTAACTGTGTGGCTTGGCAGCAGCAGGCTGGGAAGGAGTCTGAAGGCCTCGGGGACTCGGACTCCACAGTCAGACAGGTTCAGAGCTGTGCTCTGCCATTCATTGGCTGTGTGCTCTTGGAAGATCATGCAACCTCTCTGAGACTCACTTTTCCTGCCTGTAACAACTCCAGCCCTCTAGGATTGTGGCCCTCCCACTGCGCAATGCCAGGGGGCGCCATTCCCATTGTGCCCTGGGTAGACAGTGCTCCCAGAAGTTGTGCAGTGCGTTACCTGTGCACATCAGCTCTGCATGATGTAAAGACCCCGGCACATAGTGGGGCTCCAATACATAGTAGCTGTTGTTATCACTGTGCTTCTTAGTCCTAGGTACAAGTAGTTCTAGAAGGCTGAATTTGGACAGGGCTCACAGTGGGCTGTTTTGCAGAATGACTTAAAGAGATGACTTTGGAATCAGGCCTAAATTCGAATCCCTGCTCTGCCACTTCCTAGCTCAGCTGTCTTGGGGAAAGGAAGTTGCTTCACATCTCCCTCACTTTCCTAGTCCATCGAATGGGGATGATAATAGAGCCAATGACGGAAGGTCCTGTGAGAATGAAGTCAGATCACTTAAGTCTGAGCTTTCATTGGCCAGTGTCTAGCAAATGCCAGGAGTTCAAAATGTTCATGTCCACAGGGCAACTGGATAGACCGAGCGAGTGTCTGGCCACTGTGAGGATGGGAGCAGTTAGAAGCGAAACCCACAGCACCACAGCAGTGTGATTGATCGCAAAACCTGGGGCTGGGAAGGAAATTCCTTTCAAGTGCATTGAAAACGTGCACATGCAGAACTGTGAGAGCATTTCACAGAGAAACGCACGAATGGAAGGACATGCATCGAGCAGACCAGAAGTTTTGCCTGCGGGAGGGAAGAGATGGAGGGAACTGGGGATAAAAGGGAATGTGTAGATAAATAAGAATGGGATGTGACCAGACCCTGAGCTGTTTCAAGTCTGTGGACAGTATTCTTTTCCAGAACCAACAAGTTTGGGATCTCCCGGGACTGAGCACCGTGGAATGTCGTACCTGGGAGCCACCTCAGAAACTGTGCAGCACCTCCCAGACAGAGGAGGTGCGGGAAAGAGTGGAGTGGGCAACGTGGCCTGTGAGCACATGACCACAGAGAAGGGTGTCACCTTTAATAAGAAGGATTTGGAGGACATCAGGAAAATGGGGTGGAGTCCGGCAGCTGGGCCAGTGCCTCTATAGGAGAGGGGACATGAGAGTTCAGCTGGAAGTGGGACTCGGAGCCAGAGGTGATCACATGACCTGCTCCCCTAGCAGTGCTCGGAAAACGAGGGGAGAGCATTAGGCTTGCCACAGGATGTTGGACAGAGGGCTTGAACCAATTACATGTCAGTATTAAAGGCCAGGGCTCTTTGTCTTATGCTGGGTCACAGGCAAACCCTAGAAGCAAAACTGACCAGCTTGTCCCTGGATGGACAGCATTTGTTGGCACGAAGAAGGCAGAACTAAAAATGCAGAATTGGGTAGCCGGGAGGGGGAGTTGTCCAGCAGAGAGACATAGAGTGTTCTGGTTGAAACATGAATGAATAATTGGATGGATGTTAGACGCAACACCTGTTATCAGTTTTGGTAAAATTTTTTAACATTAATTAGTTTGAGGATGTGTGGCTCCTTCTTTATTCCTTTGGTTACCTTTCTCTCTGCCTGTTTTCCTGTCTTCTGTCTGTGTCCTCCTCACCTGTGGCCCTGATCTCACTCCAGGTCTCCTCTCCTTTTTCTTCCTTCCTTAGTGTGGAGATGCCGCCCTGAAGACCAGCCCTGACCCTGGTGCTCACAGATGCTCCCAAAGTAGGAAAAGAAATCAAATTGCTCCAACAATCCACCCGCCTCAGCTGTCTACCCAGCCTTATGCCTCCCTGAAGGCCAGAGCGCCCTTCGAGCCACCAATGAGACAGATGTAGCCAGGTGACTCCATGTGTACAGTGTTAGAGAGACAGTTACTTCCCAGCAATGTGAGCTTACGCCCCAGCAGGGGGAGGGCTAGGTGGGGGAGGGCTAGGCAGCAGAGGGGTAGGTGCCCAAATACATTCTTGCAGAATCAGAGGCATGAGTGCACACAGGAACATACACACGGGCACACAAACACACGAAGGCATGCCTTAGCAACACCATGTGAGCACATAAACAGGAACCGTAAATACGTGTGCCCCCAAATGTATATGCACACCCAGAGGGGTAGGCGTGTACAACCCTTATGTGGTTATGTGCATACACACATAGGTGTAGAAATAGAAAGAACTAGACACCTGCATGCAGCCAGGCACATACATAAATGAACCAGGAAATGGAAGAGGAAAGCCCATCCTTCACTTCCCACCTTACACACAGGTACAAACCAACATGCACCCAAGAGGGCGAGATGCAGGTGCTCATGCAGGTGCACGGCCAACAACCCTCCCCCTCCCCATTCTTCCCCTCTCCTGGCATGTGGGGGCATGTCTGCAGTGCATTGGAGCGGCAAGAGGCCAAAGTGGAGAGACACATCCCAGGACCCCCACGGAAGCTGTGCCAGATCATGGGAGCTCTATCACCCCTTCTGCTGTTGGATGGGCAGCACCCCGAAATGATGGCAGCCAGCATTCCTGCTTGTTTCCTGTGTTTGAGTTGGCAGAATTCCACTGAAACCATACCTCCGATGTGAGAGGTCTGGACTCGGGGAATACCACTACCCACGTCCCCCTCACTGTACACATGGCCCAGCCCAGGTTTCTGTGGGGAGAGGGTCAGGGGCTGAGAGGACTTACACTGCTTTGTTGTTTTCTGTATCCTAACCACCATCTGCCACACTGCACATCTTTTCTACCTTTCTTGTCTATTTTCTGTCTCCCCACTAAACGTGAGCTCCATGAGAGCAGGGGCTTGGTTGTCTTATTCAATGCCTGGGGGAGTACTCTGTGTGTAGTGGGTGCTCAGTACACATTTGTTGACTGTAGGAACAATGCTGTGAGGTGGGCCTTTTGGCCCCCATTTTACAGATGGGAAAACTGAGGGTACTAAAGCCACAATGATGTGTCAAACTCACAAGACCAGCAAGTAGCAGAGCTTGAGTCTGAACCCAGGTTGGTCTGGTTCACAAGTCAGAAGCTATATTTATCCCACCTGGATGCCACAGTACCCACGTGCCACATGCTTTCCGTGGATTCCAAACCTGTGGCTGCCAGACTCTCGTAGCATCAAGATCAACGAAGACCCTTGGGCTCTACACAACCCTAATTAAGGCAACAGGGTGCTTCACAGAACACGCTTGAGAAACACAACTGTAAACTAATTTCCCAAGATACCCAAAAACCTGTGATGTTACTTGGCTAACCCCTCCAAGCATGTTTCAGAAATCATTATTCTCTGCACTTACTTTTCAACACTTATCAGTCTAGGCAATAGTAGTAGAGTCCACTTTTTAGGACCTGGCTATCTAGGATCAGGGTGAAGGGAGAATAAACTTTACTGAGCCGCTATTACATCTGAGCACTGTTTCAGGAACATGACCTGTGTTGAGGAGGCAGACTGGTGTTGTAGCTATGTGCCTGGGCTCTGGACTCAGGCTGCTGGGTATGAGGTCTGTTTTTATCACATTTGTGTTCAACCTGTGCTGCTTATTTAATTTCTCTGAGCTTCCATTCGCCTATCTGTGGGAGGCTGGCTTTGTTGCAGATGATTATCTCCAATATTTCTCTCTTTCTCTCTTGCTCTTTCTCATTTTTGTAATAGAATTGGTGAGTTCTAGCTGGGTACATGGTCATCAAGCAAAGACTACATTTCCCATACTCCTATGCTGCTTGGTGTGCCTACGTGATTATGTCCTGACCAATAAGATTTAAGAGGAAGTTATGAAAACAACTTCCAGGCCATGCCCTTAAAAGACCAGGAAATATCCTGTATTTGCCTGCCCCACTCTGCCTGCTGGTGAGTCGGCTGGAGCATGAGACTGGAAACCCCATGTGCACAACAGCAGAGCGATAAAGTTAAAGGAGGCCTTGACCTTAACATTGTGAAGCTACCTTGTGAGCCCTGAATTATTACCGAAGAGAGAAATTCCATCCTGTTTAAAGCTTTTTGGTTTTTGGCTTTTGCTACAGCAGCTGAGTCTGTATCTTAACTAAAACCAGCCTTGGTACCAGAGTGGGGCACTGTCATAACATAATTTAAGCTATGGAGCTTTGGCTCAGGGATCCAGGAGCCGGTGGGGAAGATGGCAGGTCACAGAATGGGGAGTCAGTGGCCCCTATTATGACAGGTGAGCATCGGCCACTGCCTGTGATGCCCTGAAAGCTGATAACGTGCCACAATGTTTGGGACTCCAGCAGGTCTGTTGAAACTCTCAGAGTGTAGTATGTGTTGGCCTATCCTTTCAGGTTTAGCAGATCCTATGAGAGAGGACCCAGGAGGCTAGGTATAGAACAAGATTTGGAAGAAGACATCTTTATGGGCAGGAGAGAGGACAGAGGCTCCAACTTTGCTCAGGCACCTCAGGCCAGACTGTAGGATGGCATATGGCAGAGAAGCTCAGATCCATGTTGCCTCCCCACCCAAGCCTCCTGTCTGTCTCAGGTGGCCCAAGGGAGGCCTCCTTTGGGTTGGGAGAGACATATGGGCAAGATGAAGATACCAGGCAGTGAAAGACAAGAATCCTCAAACAGAAAATCTATACCTAGAAAGGGACCTTGGTTATGGTTAACTGTACATGGAAGTGACTGGGAGAAAACAGAAAGAAAACCAACACAACTCATTATATCCCCAGTTTGTCTGGGACAAGTTGATCACCCCAGGCCAGAGCCTACTTCTGGCACAGGGCTCACCTTGCACCCAGGCACTTCTACCTAAGCCCAGGTGTCCTTGGAAATGCAAAGTTCTGTCCTGGCATGCTAGACCTGGGCCTTGGACCCTCACATGGTTCACCTCCCCCTCGTTTTGTCTGTGGGGAAGTGGAGGACCAGAGAGGCACAATGCTGAGCCAAGACCACACAGCTCCATAGTGGTTGAGTTAGGGAGCAATCACACATCTCATAGGGTCCCCACAGGGTCTCTGCTTGTTATCAGCTCCTTCATGCATATTTCTGGGACCCAGTGAGATGAAGAGAGATGATGTTTGTCACTGGGTGGAAAAGGTGAAGGGATTGAGCAAAATAAAAACAAAGAAAACCTCATAGACACAGACAACAGCATGGTGATCACCAGAGGGAAAGGGGGTGGGGGGAGGTAGAGGGGGATAAATGGTGATTGAGGGAGACTTGACTTGGGGTGGTGAACACACAATACAACATACAGATGATGTATTACAGAATTGTACACCCAAAACCTACATAATTTTATTAACCAATGTCACTCCAATACATTCAATAAAAATGATGTTTGTGAAAATAGTGTACAAAATGAGGCATCATAAACCAAGCTGGTGGCACCTCTCACAGTTACTGACCTTTCCCTGACTCCCATTCACTCTCCTGCCTTCCCCGGGAATGGAGAATGTTCTGGCAGGACCAAGGAAAAACAGAACCCAGGCATGAGCACCGCACCACCGGGGCTTGAATCCTGATCCTGCCACATGCTGTGTGTGCAACCTTGAGCAGGTAATTTACTTCTGTGGGCTCCAGTCTCTTCATCTATGACAGTAATGCCTAATGCCTGCCTCATGGGGTTGTCAGGTCCAGACGAGGACAGAACACACCTGCGTACAATGGTGCCTGCCACACAGTTAGTGCTCAATCAGTGTCAGTTACTGTGTTAAGGTGATTAAAGTGAAGTGCTAATATCTTAGTGGCTTTGCACAATTGTTTACTTCTTACTCATGTCACAGGCTGCTGCTGCCCGGGAAGCCCTTCTCCATCTTCCAGCTACATCGGCCAGTTTCTCCAAGAAGGGAAACAGGGAGGTCCTGGCTGGTGTGGCTCAGTGGATTCAGTGCTCAGTGGATTGAGTGCCCTGGTTAGAGTCCCAGTCAGGGCACACGCCTGGGTTGTGGGCCAGGTCCTCAGTATGGAGTTCATGAGAGGCAACAACACATTGATGTTTCTCTTCCTCTCTTTCTCCCTCCTTTCCCCTCTCTCTAAAATTAGACAAATAAAATCTTTAAAAATTTGTTTAAAAAGAAAGAGGGAGATAGAGGATGTTTTGAAGGGCCAGACATTACCTCTGCCCAGTCATATCAGCCAGAAGTTGTCAATGACGCAATCACATTGCAGGGGTGGAGGGGAGGTGCTGGGCAATGTCATTCACCATGTGTCCCGGGAACAGAATGGCATCTTGACCACATCTGGGCTGTAATACTGGTCTGGTCCCTTGTATATTGTGTGGTTCTCTATATGTTGTTTCATCTCTTTGAGTCTTGGTTTCCTCATTATAAATGGAGCTGTTATGAAGTTCGTATAAGGAAAGGGAAGTTCAAGGTGCTTGGTACATGGGGGATGTTCGGACAATATTATTTTCCTTCCTTTCTTTGTTCATCAGTCTTTCTCCTTCCCCACCTCCACCTTCCCTCCCTGCCCACTCCTCTGTCTTTTTTTCCATGCCCTGCAGTGAGCAGGGGACAGCTGGTAGTGACCCTGACCACTGCCACTGAGCCTGCCCACTTTCAACCAAAGGGGCAAGACTACCAACCAAAATTCTGAGAGTGAAGGTGGTGGCATGCAGTGAATGACTGGAACCGTGTCCCCTGGTCCCCAATGTAAATCTCGGAGAAAACCATTAGCAGGCCCTGCAGCTCAGAGACAAATTATGAGGCAGGGAGATCAATGTTATTTTTCCATGAGTTGAATGCATAACAGTTTATGGCAAAATCGATGCAAATCTTCGTGAATAAAGTGATGGCAGGTGCACTTAGAGAATGATTGGGGGGACCTCAGCTGATCAGCAGGGAAGGTGGCATCCCAGGGGGGAGCCAGTTGCCCAGTAGCCCTGGGGTTTGATCCTCTCTGCAGCCCAAGGCCCTTCCTGGACTGGCCACGGCCTTTCTGAACACCTTCGGGAGGGAAGGGGCTGAGGATGGGAGAGGAGTTAAGAAGAG